CTCAAAAAAAAAAAAAGTGAGGTATGAGGGCAGCCAGCAGCTCAGCTACCCTCTGTGGCTGGGAATTAGCAGGCCACACCTGGCCTGTTCAGAAGTAGTCCTGTCTGAACACATTCTGTCAGGCCCGGATATCAGAAAGGAGAAATGCCTAATGCCCCAGCTAGCGGGTGGAGCTTGGTGCATTCCCCTGAACTGCAACCTCCTACTCCCTGCTGTGTTTCTGTTAAGGACTCAGGGAGAGGAGTACTTGGTCATCACAGCTCTAAGACAAGATTGCTGTCACAGCAGAGGCAAGTCAATACTTTATAGAGTCCTAACAGGAGGACATAATGATCACTTACCAAAGCAAAACAACAAATATCTAACAGGCAGACAAGAGCTTTATTCATTCCTCCTATCGCCAAGCAGTTTCATGTCACCACCTTAAGACCACCTGGCCTCTGGCCCCATCCCTTGAGCTTGCCCCTAGGCCAGTTTATCTTTCAAGTCCCTGCTGGTATGCACCTCAATGTCCAGGCTTATAGAACTACAGAGCTGGAAGGATCCCCGAAAACCTAAAGCCTAGCCCAGATCCAGAGACGTCTGGGATTTGTCTCTAAGTTATGCTGCCAGATATCTTGGTCTCCTCCTCATACTACAGAACACAGCAGGACTGCCCAGCTGGGCTCCCTGTCCACCTGGCTGCTCAGTCCCCTATTAGAAGCCCTTTTTTAAGCACTGAGGGAGAAAATGAACTCTGTTGTTAAGTGACTGGGGTCCTGGGTAAGCAGTGCTACTTAGACTAAGGTTATGGGCCAATTAGCTGCTCTTGGCTTTAGGTTCTAGAATGATCTGAGGAGTGCCTCAGAAATGCAAGGTGGTCATCATAAAGGTGCACAAAGGCTGCTTGCTATAAGCCCCTGCCCACTGCTAAAGGTACCTCTCAAAGTAAAGGCCATACTCCAGTTAGCAGTATGGGTAAAGAACACCTCTTCCCCAAAAGACAGGAAGCATTTAAACAGTCTGACTCTAAAAAGCCAAAATTGTACACTACATATCAGAAACGGCACAGGGATTTGCAGCAGAGGCCAAGGTCAGATCAGGAATCCACTCTCAGCCACAGCTCACTCACCGATGACCAACAGCACAAGGATGACAATGAGAACCACAAAGAAGGTGTTGCCATATGTCACTACCAACTCCACCAGGCGGGACTTGAAGATCTTCTGCCATCTGTGAAGGAGAAGATGAAAGGGTGGGGCTGAAGAAAAAGCACATACACTTGGGATCCAGGACTCTAAGCAAAACAGAAATCCATCTTTGTACTATTCTCCAACGGCTGAATACCCATACACAGTCAGCCTCAGTTGCTTGCAATTCTCCAATTCAATAAATTATCTTTCTTTTTTTTTTGAGACAGAGCCTCAAACTGTCCCCCTGGGTAGAGTGCCGTGGTATCACAGCTCACAGCAACCTCCAACTCCTGGGCTCAACCGAGTCTCCTGCCTCTGCCTCCCAAGTAGCTGGGACCACAGGTGCCCACCACAATGCCCGGCTATTTTTTTGGTTGCAGCCATCATTGTTGTTTGG